CGACTGTCGCGTCAAACCCACACGGGCGAGTGGGATGGGGCCGCACCCCGGCGGACACGCCCCTCTCGGGTGTGAGCGATCGCCCGGCGAACCAGCGCGACCTCTCGTACACTCACGCGCACGCGCACAGCCACACAGAGACACACGCAGCAGGTCATTGTCGCGCCGGGGGGGTCGCGGGGCCTGGGGGAGGGGTTACGCGAGGAGGGCGCCGCCCACCCTCATTTGGAAAAGTGTTCGCCGAAGGGTGCCAGCGTCTCCATGTGGCCGAGGGCTGGCTGGCGGGCAATGGCCCGTGTCGCCTGGGCGTGTGGTCGCCGTTGGGCGGGGAGCAGGAACTGGCCTGCCGGCGGCCAATGGTGATCTCCCAGGACCGACGGAGGTGAAGGCATTCCTCCGTGCCAGAGGGAGCCCCGGAGGCATTCCAGTGTTTCACGGCGGACAGGGTGTCAGCCGTGTGTGTGTGTGTGTGTGTGGCCACCGGACCGGTATCGCCGCCCCTTTCCCCTTTGCGAACAGCCAATCCACCGGGGAGGCCCTTGCCGCCCACTCGGTCCTTTGCCACTCGCCGGCCGGGCCTCGGGCGAGAGGGCCGGGCTCGGGCCCGGAAAGGGCCCCGGGAAATGTGCGGGCGCCCGGGATCCCGGCGTGCGGTCCGACCCGGCCCGGCGCCGGGTTGGGGGGGGGGGAACACCGCACCGGGGGCGGGCCGAGCACGGCCCCGGCGAGTGCCTCTGTGCCCCCTGCCCCGGGCATGGGTCGCCTGTCAGTGACTTGCCCCGTGCGGTCGCCGGGAGGCCGGCCGGTGGCGTTGTCTTTTCGAGGGCGCGTCCAGGTCGTGCCCCTGGGCTGGCTAATGAGCTTCTTGTTTGTGTCCCTCCACTGATCGTGCTGGCGGGTAGAGAGGGGACGAGCCGAGGGGCCAGGAAGGGGCGAGCAGAGCAAAGCGCCCGCGCCGAGCGGCGGGCCTCGGGCTCCGAAATGGGCCCCAGCGAGCCTCGACGGCCTGCCATGCCCTCGCTCGGGAAAAGGGGGTCTGCCTCCGGGCGGGGCCGGCGGACGCGCCCGAGCCGCCAGACGCCCAGTCAGAGGGGTTACACACACACACACACCGGCCGGAGAATGGCCGCGGCCCGGGATTCGCCAGGGCCGCAGCGCGCCACCGACCACGCCCCCTTGCCCATGGCACTGTTGTGGCCTGGCTCGCGCCAGCCCCCCCGGCCAGATGAACAGCCGAGGGGGCAGGAAGCACGGCCAAAACGGGTCGGAGAAGCGGGGCCGGGGGCGGCGGGGTCCCCCTCAGTGCGGAATAGGGCTCTCGGGGGGGCGGGGGGGGGGCCGATTCCAAGGAACATGAGTCACACAGTTGGGCACCCATCCAGGAGCGGGGCCGGGCGAAATAACCGTGCATCGGGGGGGGGGGGGCGTGCGCCCGGACATGCGTACGCCCAGGTCCGGCGCTCGGGTCCTCTCGGCGCGGCGTCCGTCTGTCGGCGGACGGGTTGCCGCACTCGCCGCCCGGGCCCCCTGTCGACGTCGGCTCTCGCCCGGCGCCCCCGGCGGAGCCCGGTCTCCGAAATCTCGGGAGCAGGTGCCCCTGGCCGGCGTACACACACCAGGGAGGCGGTGACCGGGGGGGGGGGGGGAGAGGGGGACCGGGGAGGAGGCAGCCTTGCTCCGGCAGGGCGCCTACACGCTGCGCCTCCTGGGCGCCCTTGTCGGGGGTTGGAGGCGGAAACACGGCCTGGCCCCGGGCGAATGGCAGCACGCGATGGTGGCAAGCACCCTCTCCGGTGCCGGGCCTTACGCCACGCCATGCTTTGCCTGCGAATTGGTGTCTTGGCACGGGTGCGCGCGCGAGCGCGCGCACGAGCCACCCGCTCGGCCTCTGTTCGGCCCCACCGGCTGGCCCAGACGCGGGAAGACGGCGCCGGCCCGCCCGCCACATGGACAAGAGCTGCCCTTGAGCGCCGGGCCGGCGCCCGCCTCGCTCCGCCGTGTCTGCCCTTGTGAGGGCGGCTGGTCGTCCGCCTGGCGCGGGCTGCCGTCGGGCGGCCAACGCCCCGCGCGCCTGGCCTCGTCAGACCCGCCGGGTTCTGCTGCTCCCCGGGCTCCTACGTGGCCCGGGGGCCGGCCGCTCCCAGCGGCCTTTGGCTGCCAACGGAATTGGCCCATTCAATGACACCCCGGCCGAGGAGGGCCCGGACCGCGGCCGGCCGGCCCTCTTGGGCTCCGGTGTCCCGGCTCGGCGTGCCTTTCTCCGGATGCCAGGGCGTGCGGGTGCCCTCTGCCAGGGCTCCCCGCGGCGCTGGTCGAAAGGGCAGTGCCTGGGGGGGGGGGGGGGGACGGGGCCACCCTCCGGGCTGCGCGGCCGAGGCATCCAAGCGCAAGCATCCCCCGGCAGTGTGGACTTGCGTGCCGGCGGGCATGGATGAAAACGCGAGCCCCGGCGCGGGAGGTCCCCTACAAGGAGGCATGCACAACGGCACGCGCGCCAGCGCGCGCCCTCGGCCTGGGCGCGTGAGCCCCCCCCCCCCCGGCCCCCGGGAGAGGCCCCCGTGTGAGGAATCGAGCATATTGGACTGGTCGTCCATCCACGCGGACAAGTGCCCGATATTCGCCCACCCATCCGGACCTTTCGCAAGGGCGGCGAGGGATGAGCTGAGGGGGCGGGGAGGGGGGGGGGAGGCCGTGTTCCCCGGGTCTAGGTCCTCGGCTGGTTCCATTCTTCGGGATGATTGACACTGCCGCGTCCCGGGGCTTGGCCGCGGCGGGCCCAGACGCCAGCCCCAACACAATGTCGGAGGGGCCCCCCCCCCGACCGTGGCAGTGGGGAGCGGCGGGGCGGGACATACACAGTTCGCCTCATCTGAGAGGCGGCTTGCTCGGGTATGCGGGCACTGTGAGTGGGCGATTGGCGCGCGCGCATGCGAACGCGAATCTTCCCGCTCCGCGCCCATCAGGGGGGGGGGAACAGTTCCTCTAAGTGGGTGTTTACGTGCTTGCGGGCGGGTGGCGCACGGACTAATAGCCGTCCCCCCGTAGACATGTAAGGAGTCCCCTGCCTCGGGGGGTGGGACCAAGCGGGGAGGAGCGAGAGCTACAGCTGCCGGGGGGCGGGGGGAACAGAAACAATGCGCGAGCGGCGTGCCTCCGGGGAGCAGCGAAGCTCGAGCATTCGGGCGGTCCTGCCTGCATGCCCCCACCCAACTGATGGGTTTCGCCCTGGTCCCTCGGCCTCCGCCCCGGCCCCGACCGCCCCCCAGCGCCACCGCCGGCCAACGCAACCGGTGCCGGATTCGACCCATCGACTGGGAGGCGCATTGGCAACGGGGGGAGATGTTCATCCTCCGGACAGGGGCAAGGGGGAGAGAACAGGGGACGGCGGCCGTTCCGGGAGCGGGGCGAGCGGGCCTCGGGGGATCGCCCCATCCGACCAGCATCCGGGAAAGGTGTCGCCCTCCGGGAGGGAGAGCCGGGGGAGGGACGAGGGGGGGGGGGTGCGGGGAGCAGCTCGACACTCGGCCCTCAGACTGGGGCTGTAAATATTTGCCGATGCACCCCCCGCCACCATCCCACGCCCCAGGCGCCGGGGGGGGGGGGGGGGGGGGGCGGGACCAGCGAGTGGCGCCGCCGGAATTGACAGGTCCCCCGGCCCGGGGGGAGGGGGGCGAGAGGCAACCAGGGTACATGATGTGTGGGCGGGTCCACTTGGACAGGCCCGGCGTGTTGGTGCCCTCTTGGCGCGGCGATGAGTCAGCGCTTGGTGGTCCCAGGGCAGCGACGGGCGGCGGCTCTGGGCACGCAGCACGCCTCTCGGCAACCGAACAGCCCCCTTGGCAGGGGAGTCCTGCGGGGGCGGGGGCGGCGAGGCGCCTCGGCCCTCGCGTCGAGGCATGACACCCCGAGGCCGAGATCCGAGGACAGGAAGCCCGTGCGGGCGGCCTCGGTGGCCGGCGGCCGGCGGCCCCGGATCGATGGCAAGGAACAGGGAATAGGCATGTCCCGGCCGGGGGCGCAGGACCCGGGGGAGGGGCGGCCAAGAGGCCGGGGGGCTCCTCGCGCGGCCCAGGGCCCGGTCCCCCCCCCCCCCTTCACCATCGGCGCCCTCCTCCGCGCCGGCCCGGTGGGCACGCCGGCGTGCGTGACACACGCGCACACACACACACACACACATATATGCACACGCACAGGGGGACTCCACGGCGCATTCTTGCCGGAGGGGCCCCCGCAGCCTGGCGCCCGGTGACCTGACCGGGCGCGTCTTGGCACACACTGACAGGGGGGGCACCAAGCGGGAGGTTGCCAGCCGGTCGTGTTGGGAACGAGCGGCGCGCCCACGCCCCCGTGGGGCATCGCAAACGGCCGCCGGACACAACTAACACCCGCGCTGTGGGCAGCCAGGTGAAAGGGGTACATGTTCCTCCGCCCGCCGGCGCTCTTCGGCCGCCTCGTCTCCTGTCCACCCTGCCCCAGCCCCCCCCCCCCCCCCCCCCCTCATGGGCAAGGTACATTCAACCGCCGGGATGCGTGATGGGCCCGGGGG